ACATACACACACATCGAATATATATTTAAATTTTATATTATGCATAGTATACATGCTATACATATTTACATATCATATCTTACTATTCAGCAAGTTTATTAATAGAAATAGCAATTGATTAGCTTAAGATAATGAAATATGAGGTTGTCCATCTAAATAACCTCCCTGCAGACATATATCTCAATGTAGACATTATGTCCTTTGGTATTTGGTATTCACCCAATTACTACATTTCTCTCTGTATTGGTTTTGTATATTTGTCTCTTTCTCCAGCTACTTAAAGAAACAAAGCAAACAAAACAAAACAATAACAAATTTTAAGATAGAGACTGATCCTTGTCTATCAGTGTCTATCAGTATTCAAGCTCTTAACATTGTACTTGCTGTAGAAAAGGCTCAAAAAATTTTTTAATAAATGAGAAATAACATGTCCTGTGTATTTAGGAATCATCTTGGAAAGAAAAGCAAAAATGTGCTTTTATTTATTTAGGTTCCTAGTTCCAAAACCAACAAATCTAGATATGAACCAAATGTGTGAATGGCACAAGATCATGTAAAAAATAGAAAACCAGATGAGAAAGTGTCTCAGACTGTAGAGTATATGAATACATGTCATAGTTGGGTGCTGAAAGCAGTGAATATGCTGAGTATTCTCCACTGAAGCTGGCATGTAGTAGTTTGGAGGAGGAAATTTTAAGAGCTTGTCAAAGGGGGAAACCAAATAGAAGAGTAAAAGTAAAATGTTTTCTTCTATTCCCTCTTCCAGGGCTGCCCCCGAAAATTCTGATTTGGAGGGAAAACTTAATCTCAGGAGTCTTAAGACCCTTTAATTTCAATGAGATTGATAGGTAAAATACATAATTTTATGGCAATCTATATGATATAGGGCAAGATGTGATTTAACAGCAATGTCCAATCATTATAGCCTCTACGGTGATGTATGGTTTCAAATAGGAAGTATTATGCCATATTGCACAATGGCCAATGTTTTCATCAAGATTCTAAGCAGGACGTCATTCTTCCCATCAAAAGGTGCTTAAGACGCTCCTTCTATGGTCAGGATACACAATGCTCAATAGTCCAGAAAGGGTAAACACACACACCATGCCACTGACATAAAGGGCTCAGGCTAGAGAAATAGGAACCTATAACATCACAGAGCCATTCTAAATGATTAGTAGTAAGTTAAGTGGCTAGCATAGAAAGGCTTCAATGGAAATTGGCTATTAGACTTTTTACTTAAAGGTTGTACTTGAGCTAGTAAAACATAGACAAACAAAACAATTTGATAAAGACTCCAAAAAAGTGGACATGCAAAAAAAGACAGCACAGAGCAACACAATGTGGTGCATGGAGGAGGGTCCCCAGGTTGTGAGATCAAAACACCGCTTGAATTTGATCTACTTCCTAGATTAACCTGATTAGGATTGTTACTAGTTCTATAATCAGGATGATCTGAAGGTTGATATAGTCATCGTATATCTTTTAGTATTATATCTATAAGATGTACATGTGTGTATGTATGTGTGTAATATGTACATGTAATACATACACATACATCTACTTATATGTAATGAACTGTACATAATTCTCTTGATGGGGTAGGCATTTATTAATTTTAACAGATACTGTTGTTTCCTTAAAAAAATTCCAAGTTTAAAACCTTATTTATAGCTCATGTCTATTTTCTCCCATTATCGATTTACTGTATATATCCATCTACGTGTCTTCAAGTCAAATGAGCTCTATTTGTCATGACAATAAATACTCTGACATCCAGAGTAGACAATTTAGTTGTGTATTATTTCTGAGTTCTGACTTTTGAAAAATTCTGATTGATTATGCTATACCATACACTATCTCAAGGATAAGGTCATGATCAACAGTGATATTAAGCGAATGTGGCAAGGAGTGCAGACCTGAGTACTAACAGATTTTGGAGGAAACTGATGTCCACCTAATGCTCTCTTACAGATTTCAGTATGTCTCCCACTCTGTTGATTGCACATGGGATGTTCTTGACTTATTTCAGCATAAACAGGTAGAAAAAAAATGTGAGTTTTGGGGCCCAACATAGGAGGATTCAATCCCTATTCTATCTTTATGGGCAAATGATTAATCCTCCTGAATGTCAGTTTCATTGTTTTAATAGATAAAGAGAATGCAGGGATGTTTGATGTTCAAATGTAATCATTTGCACACAGAGAAGAAACAGTAAATGCCTAATGCATTTTAAGGTAATTTAGTCAGTAACTGAACTACAACCATATTGTTCTACAATTAATCCTGAATTCAAAGCGGCTATGAATGTCATTCAAATTCCTTAATGAAACATGTCTTAGATCTTTTTCTTCAATATGAAAAATACAGAATGGAGGTTTTCTTTGACCCTTTTTCCTGAAATTCTTCATTTTGCAGCTCTTGAATGAAAAATACCAGATTCATTAGAAAATCTGGAATTTTGTCATTGTTAATATTGAGTTCTTATTTTAATTTCTAATATTTATAGATGCTTATATCTCTGAATATTTATTTATCAAATTATCATACCTTCAAGAAAGAGTACCCTCCTCTCTTCTTAAACAGTTCATTTCCAACCTGTTACTTCAACTGTTTAGTTTATCTAGGTCTGTTTGCTCAGGCACTGTCTGAGAAATTGATACATATAGTATCAATTTGGACATCTGTCTCCCTGTCTACAAGGATTTAATTTGGTTGGGTGGCAAATTCCTTGGCAGCTGTTACTTTTTAATATATCTCCCCAATCTCTTAGCACAGTAGTAGGCAGATAGTAAATATTCAACATGGATTTGCTAGTTGGATTTAATTGAAAAAAAAAAAAAAAAAACTATGCTCAAGTATCTGAGTCAGTGACAGATCATAAGCATGAAGTTTGAGTTTGGTGCTCATTTACCTCTTGTGAAATCTTGAGATATAACATGTGATCCTGAACTTCACCAAGATCATGCCAACTATGACTCATTGCTCTAGAATTTCAGAAAGTCTTCCCTACTATTACCTGTCTTAACTTGAAGTTTCCTCATTTCTAAATCCTATTTCATGAAAAGAGGCCCTAGAATGTAGTGCTCTTGAGATAAATACGTCATCTTTCTTAAGATACTGTCATAAGGTTAAAATAGGTAATAAGGATATCCCGGAGCCTAACCGTGGTTAAGGGCAGGAGGAGGAACAGGATTGTATTTAGAACAGTTTCTCATGTGAATAAATGTTTACCTAAGGGAATAAGCCAGAGAAGTTCCCTCAAAAATCTGGAGAGGAGACAGGAAAAGAAGCAGATCAGAAAAACAAGAAGGATATAGTTTAACTTCCAATTTGAAGTTATGTGTTTGTGTATATGAATTCCAGACTTGTTGCAAGTGCAAAGGTTATAGGATCAAGGCATCAGGCTTCTAGAGCAGAGGCTGGCACTGCCCGGTTCCTACCTGCTCTGTGGCCTTAGGCATGTTATCTAAGTTCACGTACCATGAGTAAGAGTAAGAGTAAGTTCATCATTCATCCTTGCATTGCATCTAGTACAGAGCCACAAAAACATTTGTTGTGTTGAAAAATCGTTTTTGTGTGGCTGGTCTCTTAAGAAATAGTTTCTTGATTAAGGTAAAATAGGGCCCAAATTAAAATTTTGACAGTTCAGAGAGAAATATTGCTACTAATATTGCAAATAGTACAGTACGAAGACAAACGGTTGGATTACAAAGCTGGTCTGTGCGCTTGAGTATCCAGTCCATCACCAGCCAGCCATTAGTGGTTTGAGACACTTCTCACTCTCTACTGTCCTTAGTTTCCTTTTTTTGTAAATAAGGATGTTAAATCTCTGGACATTTTCTAATTTATAAATCTTCAGTTCTCTCTTAATTGAAAAATAGGTTTTCCAAAATACTTTCATTCTACTTCCTTTTGTTTAAGTAAACTTTAGCTGAGTTATGTCTTGTGGGAAAGATAAATAATGCTCATTCTTTTCTAGGATTTAGAAATTGAATTAACCTTCACTACATTGCTAAAGAGGGTAGAGGAGAGATAATCTGACATTTATGGAACACATAAACCTTTCATGTGTATTTCGTTCTCCACAAAACATTATAAAGTGAAATTTTTCTCCATTTTACAATTAAGGAAACTGAAGATCAGAGAACTCAAGTAACAGGCCTAAGGCCACAGAGCCAGTAGGAACTGGGCAGTGCCAGCCTCTGCTCTTAATGTCTGTCTGATTTAATAGCCCGTGTTCTTTCTAGCATGCCATGCTGGCATTCTGTAAAAAAGGCAAGTAATCCACTTTACCAGATGGGGAGGCTGAGGTCCATAGAACCAGGAGTCCTCCTCAATTTTGTAGTAAATTCATATTTTGGTCCCAGGAAGAAAACCTGACTTTTTTTTGTTTGTTTTTGGAATAGTATATAAGCTCAGGCTGAGGGCAGGATAGAGGAAAATATTCTTTTGTAAAACAGCTTTTTATGTCAGAATTAGCTTATCAGAGTTTTAAAAAGGTGAAATATAAAATTGAGCTTGTTGTATTTACAATTTTTTATTAAATTCTATTAACACACTTGATATTTTCTGGAGAATATCTCTGAATGAACGCATTCTATATACTAGAAATTGATGAAACATTTTTGTGAATACAGATTTTTTTTCAGCTTTTTTGAGTTATAATTGACAAAAATTGTACATATTTAAGATATACAAGATGATGATGTGGTTGAAACTCTATTTTTTTCCCTGAACTACAGATCCTAAACTCACAACTTCCTAGCATTCTGCCTCTCATGTACATGATATCTAGAGTATGATAGGGCTTAATCTCAAACTTTATTTCTCCTTATATAAAGTAATTTGCTTATCTAGAAATAATTTGGAATGCTTTCTTAAATGGGCATATACCACTTTATTCTCCAAGGCTCCTTTACTCATGCACTGTACTGCCTTTTGATTTAGGAAAGATTTTTTTCTCTCTCTCTCTGAACTTCCCTTGTGCTTCTTTTTTTATGTTCTTAGTTTGTGTTGGCTTACAGCCTTCCGTTCCTTTTGTTGTGTTTGACCTGGTGCCAAATGAGAGTCAGCACTTAGCTTATAAAGTATCATTTTCTAAAACAGCAACAGAAGGAAAACTCCGCCTTCCACACCCACGACTCATTACCATAGTTCTACAAAGCATGGCCTTGCATCATTTATCCATCACTTGTGAATTTCTGTTTTCTACAGCTCTCATTTCTCCAAAAATGTGTTTGAGCCACTTGGAAAATATGCATTTAAGCCATTCAAGAACTCAAGGAGCTCAGAGATTATCCTGGAAGCTGTGGCTCTTTTGCTCAGTAGTTGTGTTGCTATTTCTTTGCTCCATCAGTTCGCTAATCTTTGTTTTTCTCCAACAAGAGGTAAGGAGGCAACTGTACCTAAGGTTGCTATTTACTATAATCCTCTATTTGTTTGTTTTTCTAGTTATTATCATTGTTACTCAGTATTGTTAGCAATAGTTGGAAGGGAGAGATGTGTGTAAGTAATGTAAATATAATTCTGATATTGTCATGACATGGCTTTTGAGGTTTATCTAAAGGTTTGAGAACACAGATCTCAGAAAATGCTAAAAGTTAGTTGAAGAACTCAGAGAATTGGTTAAGTCAATTGACAGTGCCTGTGGAGTATTTTTCCCTCCCTCTGCTATAACTCTTGGTGGGATAAAGAAGGTATAAAATATGATGAATGCCAAGAAATGGAGGGCAAACTATAGTCTTATCTGTGGAAAAGACATGAAAAAATAATGAAAAACAGGTTTAAGTAAATGACAGGTGGCTTGTGTCTCTTTGAGGAGGAAAGTACACTGAGCTAGGAAGAAGAAGATCTGACTTCTGGTTCTAGGTCTCCTAATAATCAGCTGCATATATTTGAGAAAGCCATTTAATCTCTCTAGTTTTCAGCTTCTTTATCTAAAAAAACTGTGGTAGGGGAATGGATTTATTATGATGTTTCTTCTTGATGTAAAATGCAGTGATCAAGAATTTACTTAAGGGAAGTATGAAGAATAAATGCCTAAGACATTCAAAAGCAGGGAAAAATGACTTTAGGTTGAGCTGATCAGGGAAGACTTCATGGAGGAAGGAGAAAGCAAATGTGTATTTGGGAAGCCCCTGATGCTTGTCAGGAATTTCCCATTGAGATGCAGGCCAAGTTGTGGGCCTAGAGAATGGGATGGTACACTGGATATGGAGATAAGCTTGGTTCTTCACTAAAAAACATTCCTCACATTTGACTACATAGCACTGACCAAAAAGCAAATAAGAAATGCTTTATTTATTTAAGGATTTGGCCTATTTCTTGTTAAATTTGAAGATTCTGAGTTTTGTGGAGAATTAAGTGGTTTATGTCCTTCTGAGAAAGGGTTGAAATGTGACTGCAGAAACATTTTTCTTAAGGGAACTGGCCAATGAAGATTTCAAAGATATAGTTCTACCACCTAAGATATTTAAAAGGAATTGAGAAAAGATGCAGGAGGAAGCAGTCCCCTATTGATATTAATTTAGAGTAGGTATAGCTTTGGCCATTTTTTCCACTGTACCCCATTAATTTGTATTCTATAACTGTATACAAGGCTTATGTGCAACAGAGGCATTTCTGATTACCACCCTGCTCTCTCAAGAAATGTATCAAGCAGAAGTGTGAACTTTCTGGGTGGTGAAGTTTGAGCAGAAAGAAAAGAACTGTCATAAATTCTTAGTGTCTAGATTTCTGAAGAAGAGGAAGGGTGAGAGAATAGCAATAACTTAAATTTAGAAGTGCTTCTTTCTTCTAAAAACTGTAAGATTAATCAGCCAGATAACCCTGAAGATCACTGAATATAGGCATCATCAGTTCCCACACATAACTGAGGAACGCATGCACAGAAGAGGAGGAAAATGCCTTTCCCAAAGTCAGCCAGTGATTGGCTGCCTTTCTGGCATCATCAGACTTTTTCTTTTTGTTTGCAAGCAGTGGTTCTTGGAAAGGGAAAGAGAAAGTCTGATAATGCCAGAATCATCTAGGACACCTCTCTTCAGAATCAAACTGGATTAGTCCCATGGGTTGAGCTCTGGTTCTGGTTTCTCTCTCCTAGAGAACATCCAATTTCTCAATGAAAGGTTCTGCCTCTAAAGATAACCCAGAGTTTGTTTAAAATAGGGAAGTATAAAAGGTTTTCAGAATATTGTTCCGACAGGACGCTTGCAGGATTTGTTTCTATGGGAAAAGCCGCTGGCCTGGCCAACCACGCATGATATTAGCTCCTGTATTTCATTTTCCACTTACCATCACTTCCCTTTTCCTATTGACCACCAACAAATATCTCTGGAAAAGAGGTCTGAGAGGCTGGCAGATAGTGAGTCATTATGATGTGGCCACTTCCACATTCTCACAACACCCATGCACCTTGAAGTTTTATTTTGGTCTCCACTCTAGTTTTTATATACAAAGTCCCACTTTGGAGATTATCTGGAAAATATAAAGTATACACTTAAAAAAAAGTGTAACACTTCAAAAGTGTTAGATAGGAAGCTTGGCTCCTTTGGTTATTGTTTTTCTTCTTTTCCTCTCTTCTTTCAGAAGATACTTAACTAAAAGGATAGCTGTGAGTCCAAGGAGTTTGGTCAATCCCTCAGTGAAAAATAACCTCACAGAAGTTATGTCTACAAAACCAAATATTCAGCAAGTCTCCCACTTCAATACAATGAAGGAAGGAGAAGTTGTACTTGTACTTAAAATCAGAGCAGATTTTATTTTCAATGATGATTTGATTGGGGATAGTTTGGAGATAGAATGATTGTTTTGGCCATTTTGAGCCCAACTATGTAAATCTAGCCTTAAATCAAGATGAGGTTACAAAAAGAAACTGATCCTTCTAAGCAAAAATAACTATGCCGTATGAGTCTTTATAAATGGGTACTTACTACTTCCAAACATCAGCAGAATTATAAATAGAAACTTCCTCCACAGACTGGTAGGGGTGAGAGCGTTGAATCAAACAGGTTGGGTGTGGATCTCATTCTTGCCTTTCCTTGGCTGCATGACCTTGGGCTAGTTATTTAATCTCTCTCATCCTCATTTCATCATCTGCTAAATGAGCAAGGTAATTTTCACAGAGTTGTGGAAAGGATTAATGAGACAATAGAGTATCTGACATGTGGTAGGTTCCCAGTAGATGGTAGTGATTAATACTTGCCCCATTACTATTAATGAGAACATAATGGGCAAAAATTTAACAAGATCATTTAACAATATGATTCTTTGTCTATTTATATCACTCTCTCAATCAAAGACTGTATTTCACAGCCAAATGGATAATTTCACAATTAGATGAATTTTCACCGATGGCAATAATTAGAGAGTATGACAGTGATGGTCTCTTTGGCCCTCTATAGACATGAAGCAGCCTGCAGTATAGCATCTGGAATTCCTGGCTCTGGCAAGTAGTTTGGCCTTAGGTTGTCTATGGCCTTAAGTTCCTCTGAACACGCCTCATACATGCTACTAAATGGTGCATATACTATCTGTGGCATGTATTTAGTGCTCATTCATATTTAGATTGTTACCAAATTGCTTTAGGTATATAATCATGTCTTTCTAGAAAGATTACAAACTCGTTGAGGTAACAACCAAAATTGCATTTGTTTCTCCTGCTTATAATGCTGTAGGATGTTAGGAATCCAGATGCCTAAATGTTAGTTCAATTCCTCACCACAATCACCATCATCACCCAAACAGCTAATAGTTATGGAACAGGTCCAGGCAGGGGATCTGGGCAAAGCCCTTCTCAAGAATGACCTCATTTAAACCCAACAACTTCAACAAGCTAGGCGCTATTATTTCTCCCATTTTATAGATGAGAAAATTGGGGTTAAGGGAGTCTCTGTCACGTCCCTATCATGGGTTGAACTAAATTGAATTTCAACATCTCTTCTAGGAAACACCAAAATGAGGATGAAATAATTGCACGAGGCAGGCAGAGTGGCTCATGCCTGTAATCCCAGCACTTTGGGAGGCTGAGGCAGGTGGATTGCTTGAGCCCAAGAGTTTGAGACAGCCTGGGCAACATGGCAAAACCCTGTCTCGACAAAAGAATGCAAAGAATTAGCTGGGCATGGTGGCATGCACCTGTAGTCCCAGCTACTCAAGGGGCTGATGTGGGAGAATCTCTTGGATATCCTTTTGAATCTATCAGGAGGATAAGCCTGCAGTCAGCTGAGAGTGCACCACTGCACACCAGCCTGGGCAACACAATGAGACCCTGTCTCAAAAAAAAAAAAGTAAGAACAAAAACAAGTGTAGGGAATCAAAAAATGTATTTCTGAGAATAGTGGCTTTCAGACTTTTTGGATACGTCTCCCTCTTAATAATGTATTTTCAGTATAATTCCCAATATTATATGCTAAATATTATACAAGTACTAACAATATGTACACTAAAGAGATACACAAAAATATGTATTTATAAGGATGAGCCAAATAATACATTTAATGTAGCTCTCACAATGCAAAACCATTTTGCTTTCACCAAATGTTATATTTTCTATAATATATTAATATATGATATAAACATTACTAAAATAAGTAATTATTTGAGTAATTTGATAAATGCATTTATTTTATTTTTTAATCTTAGCTTAACACTTTGTGATATAGGAATTTGAAGTTTGCAATGTCAATTTACCTTGTTTCATGATTTTGATTATCATGACTGAAAAATTACAAACAAATGTAGGTTAAAATGGAAGAGCACATCTTTGCATACATGTCATAACACTCAATTTTCAAACCATCATTCAATGATGGATGCCTCTCTTTCCTTCCTTGCACAACTAAATTCCAAGGTCTATAGCTTTAACACTTCCCTCGTATAAATTCACTCACTTGCTTCTCTCTGTTTTCATTGTATTCTAATGACAAAAGCTCAACTATGGAAAACCTCCACTGCTGATTAAATCCAACTGCTCTGTGTCTTTCACTGTTGAATATATCTGAAGAAAAACATAAAACTTGTTGAAAGGTCTTACTTTGAATTCACAGCCACTGCCTTCACGTGGATTTGCGTGTTGCTTTGGAAACAACCCACATTTCCCAGTCCATTCACTCTCCTCTACTGGATACTTTCACACCTTTAGCTTCTCTTCAAACATCTAATAGTTTCCCCATTCCTACTCTCCACTGATAACTTTGCCTCCACATTTCAGGAGAAAATAGAAGCAGAGAGGAAAGAAGTTCCAATGAGTACCACTCATCTGCATTTGTGTCCAGAAATACTGTTCTTCTCTCTTGTCACTATGGATATATTGTCCACGTACCTATCTATTCCATCTATGAACTAAATCTTATCCTCTCTTACCTACTCAGGGACATTGTCCCAACTGTTTTCTCTTTGCTCTTACATATTATGCGTCATCCATTTTACAGGAACATTTCCACCAAATGGCAAGACAAACATGTTGTCATTTCTCTCATATTAAAACACAACAACAAAAACCTCTTGACCTCTCATCCTCATCCAAACTCCACTCATTTTTTTCTGCTTTCCCTACAGCAAAATTCCTCCAACTTCTCTTTTTTCATTTACCCTTAAATTTATTCTAACTAGGCTTCTGCCCTCTTCACATCACAGAAACTCCTTTTGTCAAGAACTCCAGTGACTACCATGCTGCTCAATCTGTCAGTCAATTTCCTGTCCTCTTCTTACTTGACCTATGAACAGCATTTGACACTGGTTGATCACTCATCCTCCATGAAATACTTTCTTTTCTTGGCTTCCAAACATCACACTCTCCTAGTTTCAGACCCAGCTTCTTCCTTCTATTCTCCCTTGCTGGCTCTTTCTCATTCTCTGACCTCTAAATATCACGATGTCCCAGTATTCCTCTCCATCTACACCCACTGACTTGATGGTCTCATACGATCTCATGCCTAAAGCATAGTCTATGAGCTTAAGGCTCCAAAATTGACATCACCAGAGCCCCTTAAATTTCAGCCTGCTGTATCCAATTGCCTGCTCGACACCCTTGCCTGGATTTATAGTAAGCATCACAAACTTAACGTATCCAAAACCAGACTCAGGATTGTTCCCCTCCCCATTTATTCCTCCTAAATCTTATTCATTTTAGTGAACAACAACTTTATCTTTACTATTACTCAGGCCTAAAATACTGCAGTCATCTTTGTCTCTTCTCATTCCCTACCCCATATCCATGTTGGGAACTTCTGTTGCCTATTTTCCAGCTACATATCACCACCTCCACTGTTAGCACCTTGGTCAGAGGCACCATGAATGACTGTAAAAATCTCTTAGCTAGTCTCACTACATTTGCTCTTGCCTCTGCTTAATTTATTCCTAGCATAGCAGCCAGAGAAATCCTATAAAAGGAAACTGTACAACATCTTTAAGTTCAAAAAGTCTTTTAATCACTTTGCCATTAAAAACTTTGGGTGATATAAAAAATGTTTGTGGTTATGCCTTAATAAACTACAAAGTATTTTTGAGCATTTAGCATTTAACGACTTCAATTTGTAAAACTAACCACACACTGATGGTATCTGGTAGCATGTGAACTGCTGTACGTTGCAATAGTCTGAAACTTGGAACTGTTTCTCAGGGTATCTCAGGTAGTGTATATGACATGTAGTTATCTGAATATTATACGAGAGTGGCTTCATTAATCTGAGTTGTAAATATTTTTAGGGCTTAATTTATTATTTTAAATAAAAATAACCATAAATAGAAGCTTTATCGTTTTCCTTTCACATGTCAATAGATCACCTGTGCAGTCACTGGGGTGTGGAAACTGCTGTTTTGTTGAAAAACTTTTAGAGTTCAAGAAAGGGGAGGTTCAAGATCAAATAGTTGTCCTGTAGGTATAGATCAGGTAGTGGAATGAGAACTTGACCTTTGCCTAAAAAATCCCAAAGGGAAGCTAGCTAATAAAAGGTAAAGGATGGAGCTAGTCAACTTTATAGGGAGGCTGAGATGACCGAGACATAATGGAGGGAGGGATTTTTTTATGGCTATACAACAGTAGTTTACTTCGGGAATCCAAAGCTCTAAATAAATCAATCAAAAAAGTTAGTGACATTATCATTATCCTAATTAATTCCTCTTTTCTTTCCCCAGCAGACTGCTAAAGAGCCCTGTATGGCTAAGTTTGGTGAGTAACCTATCTTGCACGTCTCTGTTTTGCTTTTCTTAGTTTTTGATGCAAGAAGGCAGGTGCCAGTGCTCTCAAGAAAACCTGTATTTTCTTTTATTCATTTTTCAGCTCCTATATAGAATTACTTATTATGTACTGGGTAGTTGCCCAAGAACTGAGGCTCCCAGAGGTGAACCAGACAAAACAAGCCGATGCCCTGACAAATCTCATACTGAAGGCTGCCTCTCTGGGCAGGAATGCACATCTCTCTTACTGGCCTCTGAATCTGAGATTCAGGAATCTACCTTTAATTCTGTGTTTTAATAATCACAACAAGTTTCAGATTTCTACAACCTTTCCTTAAAGTCTTTCTCACATTTCACATATAGCTAATGTACAGTGGAGTATGTGACAGAGTGCAATTGTTGTTTCTAAACGTACAGAAGAGCAATGAGAGTTGGGAGAGTGGCCACTTCCTCTACTCCCTTCTCTTCTAAGCTTAGCTTCTTAGTCATTTCCCCTGTAGTCACCTGATATTTGCTTAGAAAACACACTACACTTTGCAGATACACTTAGCCTTAGAATATTTCTTAGAATACCTGCAAAATGCCAAATAAATACCTTTTTTAAAGTTGTTTATAGGTTTCAGGCCAAACACACATTTTCAGTTGAGAGCAGACCATTTCTAGAGCTAACTCTGCAACCTCTGTGTTCCTCTATCATTTAAACCAGTAGGTTTCCTTGGCTTGTGGGAATTAGATAGTTTCCTTTTGCTTGTCTCTTACTTTGTGTTTTGTTTTTGTTTTGCTGGTAAGGGGAATCCACGGTATGTGCAAAATTCTGCTTTGATGTGGTAAAAGTTGAGAGACTCAAGTGATGCTAAGGTGGTCTTTAAGTGACCTCCCTTTCACAGAATTAAATAGGAAAACCAATGACACTTCTTCCCGGTGACCTGCCTATTGCATGTCAAGGCAGAAGAAATGGATGGGGTCTGAGCTCATTGGTGATACAGGGTGACTTCGTTGTTCTAGTCATCTCTCTTTCACTCTCCTCCAGAATCTACATTTAGAGTCTTACACCTATTACACAAATGAGAGTCATTTATACAAATTAGAATTGAAGTAAAAATGTTACCTCTTCCAGGGTGTTTTCTCATCAAGCTTTCTTTTTAATTACGGGACTAAGGCTTTGTCTCTTAAAACAAAAATTATGGAGAACTGTGCAACAGATAAGCATTCTGGGTGGTAAGAACCCCTCTTGGGGCCGTGAGATCACACTGCTGTGCAAAACCAAGTAATGCTAGGTAAACATTTAAATTTCATATGTGCTAATGAAAATGAATGATTAGGTCTTTACCCTTTCTTTACCCTTGGGGAACTGTCCCCAGTATTGCAGTAGGGATCCTTATATTTAAACAGTCAACTTATGTCTATTTGTAAACTCATAAATTTACCATTAGCTATTTTTGGGGGCTTAAATAATGAATCCTAAGTAGGTCTTAAATGATATATACCTACAAACTGAGGAGAAGAGCCATAATTTAGACACAAATCACCTAATTCAGGAACATGGAAGTATTGTTCAAGCAAAAAATATTTATAGAACACCTACCAAGTACCAGGGACTTTTTCAGGTCCTAAAAATACAGGAATGAACAAAACAGAGATATATTTGGCCTCAATAATTTTGCATTCAAGGTGATACAAGATAGATAATAAATAATTTAATTCATAATACCCTCGCCACTGACACCCTTTATGAAGACAATTCAAGCAAGGTAAAAGAAGAGAGAGAGAGGAGAATACTCTTGAATATAGCTTGATTAAGGAAGACCTCTTTGATAAACTGATAAACAACCCGTGGCGCTCACACAGAAAATGGATGAAAGGCATGGACTCCAACCCTGGTTCTCAAAATTTTGGCTTGTGATACCTCTCTGTCTCTATTTGTCTTTTCTTCTCCTTTCTTTTCCCCTCAAATATTAATTGACAAGAGATGCTGAGTCACTTAACTCATTTTTCTATTCCAAATTCTTTTCCTTAGAGTGCTCCAAGTGAGAAATGCCCTTTGGATTTGTAATTTCTCTAAAACAAGGAGTAGATAGGTACTTAAAAGATGAAAATTCTTCTTGAAGAGAACTAGTATAGATCAGCTAAAGAAATAATATATATGTGGTAAAGAACTAACTACCATCTGGAAAAGAATGAAATAATGAAATAACTATGCACTCATCTTTTTTTTCTTCCCTTGTATATTTCTTATAGGACCATTACCCTCAAAATGGCAAATGGCACCTTCTGAACCTCCTTGCGTGAATGAGGTGTCTGACTGGAAGCTGGAGATACTTCAGAATGGCTTATATTTAATTTATGGCCAAGTGGCTCCCAATGCAAACTACAATGATGTAGCTCCTTTCGAGGTGCGGCTGTATAAAAACAAAGACATGATACAAAATCTAACAAACAAATCTAACATCCAAAATGTAGGAGGGACTTATGAATTGCATACTGGGGATATCATAAACTTGATATTCAACTCTGAGCATCAGGTTCTAAAAAATAATACATACTGGGGTATCCTTTTACTAGCAAATCCCCACTTCATTTCCTAGAGGCTTGATTTGATCTCATTCTCTTCAGCACATGCAGAGGTGCCAGTGGGTGGACTGGAGGGAGAAGATTTTCAATTTCTCGAGTTTGGCTGTCTACAAAAATCACAAACTGAACTCCTCTGGATGTGAATTTTCATCTATCATGCTTATCCGAAAAAGACTCAGAGGAAGAGCCAAAGACTTTTGATTGGATCTACAGAGATACTTCATTAATCCATGATAGAATGAATATGGATGACAGAGAACAGGTGCTTTCAAAGAATCTTGTCTAATTCTTGAATTCATGAGTGGAAAAATAGAGTTCTGTTCCCATGGAAGCTTTACTTGATATGCAAAAAGGATCTGGGGCAGTAGCCTGGCTTTGTTCTCATATTCTTGGGCTGCTCTAATTAATTCTTCTCGTACTCCCATCTTCTGACACCTTCCCAATAAAAAGTAGACTGATAGGATGGCACAGATATGCCTACCCTACCCTACTTTAGATGTGATGGTAGAAGATAAAGAACATTTTGAGAACTACTGGATAGAGGTACAAGTGACATAAAATGGAATGTACGTTATCTGGAAATTTCTCTTGGTTTTGTCTTACTCAGGATGCAGGGTGCTTTAAAAAGCCTTGTCAAAGGAGTCATTCTGAACCTTCATGTAGGGCTTTGTGAGAACTTACTGTTTGAGTGTGTTTCTAAACACTGCTAATTGTAAAGAAAGAGTAATCATTAGTAATCATTAGATTTAACCCCAGAAATGGTATTATCATTACTACATTATGTCATGTAATGATTTAGTATTTTTAGCTAGCTTTCCATAATTTGCAAAGTGATTTCGTATATCAGGTAGCAAGTCTATGAAGTTAATTGGGCAGGCACTTGGGAGGAAATTTTAGCAATGAGAATATGGAAGCATAGCATAGCCAACTTGCCTCAACTCATAAGACAAGTGACTACGAGAGGCAATGGGTTTTCCACTACATTGCACTGTCTCAGCTTTAGAATTGTTGCTTCTGCTATCATGTTATAAGACTCTAAAATTTAGCAAAGTCACCTTAGCCCAAGCTGAGCAGAGTGAAGCTACAACAGATCTTTCCTTTACCAGCAAAGTTTTTTTTTTTTTCCTGCCTAAATCAGGGAGATCATGGGTGCTGCTCAGGCCTTACCCCAACCAAATCCCCTTCTTCACTTTGCAGAGCCCATCTTAGTGAAATGTGCTAACTTCTAAAAATAATAAATAGGACTTAATTCAAAATGTTTGGACTCTTAAATTACCTACATGCAGGTTCTTGTTGAAAGGTATATATTACATTGTAAACAAATTTAAAATATTTATGGGTATTTGTGAAAAGCTGCATTATGTTAAATAATATATGTAAAGCTATTTAAAAAAATTTTTTATTTTATGTAACAAAAATTGCAAAGGAACATGCTAAGCCTGAGGCTAAGTTTTTAAAAAACACTGTTGAGTAACTAAAGGGCCAAAGACTTGGAGAGCTTGTTTCTGTTGCATTTGCATATCTTCTCAGGAAATTAAAGTGTGTCATATATATATTCATGTATATACCTGTATAAAATCTTGGTGTTCTTGATTTTTGTTGTATATAAGCAATGTGTGCTGGAGTGGGCTGGTGCTAGTTGATAAGCACATATTATTAAATTTTCATGAATTTTGCACTCTGATTATTAATTATCACCACTCTTGAAATTGGCTATGTGGGAGTATTTATACCACGTGAATTGGCAAACACTACACATTTTCCTTTTGGACAGCTGGTTCACCAGCACACCGCTGTGAAACTCTCCTTAATGACTCCTCTCTGTTCCCACTTCATTTCTGGGACAATCATGGCAGACTAAGGGAGAAAAGAAAATTGTCAGGTTGACATACTGGTGGTTTCTCAGGGCAAGCAGAGGTTACCACAGCTGCAGCTGGAGGAATGACTACCAACTGGTGGTCTTTAAATTTTCCTGATGTATAATTTCAGCCTTTGTTTTCAATGTATACTGTTTTCCTGTTTCTCCACATAATAGTCTGCATTTTAAATCTGTAATAAAACATGCTGGTAAATGAACTGCAGCTAATTTATCTGTGGCTTATCAGACTAGAGTTAGTAATCCAGAGAACACAAAGGTACATCATAGAAATCTTTGCCCATATGAAACACTGTTTGGCAAGTGTCAGGCAGAACTGAGCGGGATGGAACTGACTTTTCATCATAGCTGTTCCCATTTCTGATGAGTTAGTCAGACAGTTTCACTTTCTGACCTTCACCTACCTCCTTTTCTCCACCCTGTCCACACTCACCATCAAAGCCACTGTCAACCCTTCTCACACTAATTGTTTTGGGTTTCCATTTTGCCTCATCAAACAAGAGCATGCTGTATTATTGTGGATTAATCTCTGCTTCTGAAGATGGCAGTTAATTGAAAAGCAATGTAATCTCGTCAACAGACTCCTTACATGAAGTATATCAGTACATCTTGAAAATGAAATTCTTGCCTTTGTGTTCTATCCCAATTAGGCAGTTTCATTTGGGAGAGCATATTTTTATTAGAAAGAAGGAGAAGCAAAAATCTGATTAACTGACAACTTAACAGTTTACAGATTCCCATCAGGTAGAAGCTACAAATGATGCTTTGACACACATTTACTGTGTGATCCAAAAGGATGCATGCCTTATTCTAGGGTTTACTTATAATTCCGGGACAGTTACTCCACTGATTATGACTCTCTCATGAGTCTCCCATCTAAGCATAGGAAATTTGTACACACGCCTTGTCCCTACAAACTAGGAAAGTATGAGCCCACCTCAATGTAGCAAGATTCTCCTGTCTCCATTACCAAGCAGTTGGCCCTTCTTTTCCAGACAGATTTCCTGGGTGGGATCATCCTAGTCCAGTATTAACTTTAGCTTTATTAGGCGAAGGCAGGCACCCGTTGTTTGTATCTCCTAATTGCAGGAAATAGATTTTAAAGCTACTTTAGAAATTCCCTTGAAGTCCTCTTACCAGGCTTCAGGTTAGAAAGTTTCATTGCCCCCAATCCGTCCTGCAAAAGAAGGGTAAGGCCTCACAGAACAGCCACAGCTCTCTGCAAATGTTGTCACCAGTCCTTCCTTCTCCCTCTTCTGGCCTCATTTTATCTTTTTTTTTTGATAGAGTCTCACTCTGCTGCCCAGGCTGGAGTGCAGTGGCTCACAGCAGCCTCTTCTTCCTGGGTTCAAGAAATTCTCATACTTCAGCCTCCCGAGTAGCTGGGACTACAGGTTCCCAACCCCACACCTGACTAATTTTTGTATTTTTAGTAGAGATGGGTTTTCATCATGTTGACCAGGCTGGTCTTGAATTCCTGACCTCAAGTGATCCACCCACCTTGATCTCCCAAAGTGTTGGGATTACAGGCATGAACCACAGCACCTTGGCCCTCATTTTATCCTTGATCTGGGTGAAATGTTTGCAAGTGAGTGAAGGGAGGGGACTTATAAAGGAAATAAAATCATTTTATCTCATTTTTTAAGCCCACTGTTTATTGGGAAAAAGAAACTTCCCTAGTGCTGAACTCTAAGCAGATTTAATACGTAAGACAGCAAAATGCAGACTCTTCCTTTATCTTATTGGAATCTACTGGTTTGTGAGAGCAGTGAACAACCTTAAGGAGTTCAAAACAGTTGACTTGAGCTATTGCTCTAAAACACTACACATAGCAGTAGTGATGAACCCAGTTATGCTGTTTGAACAAGTACATCAGAGGGTTTATTTGACCTGCCTTAAAGAACTTAGGCAGTGTTTGAAAATAGGAAAACAAAAATTCAATGAATAGCGTATGTTAGATTAAACCAACCTCCTTATCTCTTCAAAGGCATAATGACAATGGGAATCTCAGATTTCAGTGTTCAAGGTGATCATTTCCATCCTGCTTTGGTGTTATCCAAGGACACCATGGGAGTGGCATGCCTCTCACAGAGAGCCTCAAAACACAGTCTCAATTAGACTGAGGTATACTGGTTGGTTTAGTTTCTTAGAATGGAAGACACAGATAGTCATTTTGTCTTCCTTCTCTGCATTTGGGTGGTACCTCTTGGCTAATAGGCTAGACTATGAGAGAATTCTGATGATCTAGATTCCCACATCTGACACAGTGCCTGGCTCATAGCCTTTATTGTCTGTTGCAAATAAATGAGTCAAAAATGTATCTGGGTGTTTATTTGAATGTATAAATAGCATTATCTTGTGCATTTTGTATGACAGAATCCAGGGGGCAAAGCTGTCAGCCTCATTTTCTCACTGTCTCCCAGTCCCTCACTTACTGTTCACAAGTGTTCTCCTCCTTCCTCACAGAATCTGTTCTCAGAAACACTGTAATGTAATTAAACAAAGGAAACTTATAAACTCACTGGCACTAAGGAAAAGTGGCCAATATATTATCTTGTGTTGTGTCACTAAAGCAGGATAAAATCTTATTGTTTTAAGCTTGCCGAACAGATGTACCAAGAAGCAATTGGCTTTACAATAACCCAAGGCAAAAAAAAAAACTTGTTTAATAATCAGTGGCAGAGTTTTTCTTTTTTTTCTTCTAATGCTATCTTACCTCTAACCCCCACTTTCGACAGGCCCCAGTGTATGATGTTCCCCTCCCTGTGTCCATGTGTTCTCATTGTTCAACTCTGACTTATGAGTGAGAGCATGTGGTGTTTGGTTTTCTGTTTCTGTGTTAATTTGTTGAGAATGATGGTTTCCAGCTTCATCCACATCCCTGCCAAGTACATGAACTCATTCTTTTTATGGCTGCACAGTATTCCATGGGGTATATGTGCCACATTTTCTTTATCTAGTCTATCATTGATGGGCATTTGGGTTGGTTCCAAGTGTTTGCTATCGTGAACAGTGCTGCAATAAACATGTGTGCATGTGTCTTTATAGCAGAATAATTTATAATCCTTTGCGTATACACCCAGTAATGGCATTGCTGGGTAAAATGGTTCTAGATCCTTGAAGAATTGCCATACTGTCTTCCACAATGTTTGAACTAATTTACACTCCCACCAATAGTATAAAAGAGTTCCTATTTCTCCACATCCTCTCCAGCATCTGTTGTTTCCTGATTTATTAATGATTGCTATTCTAACTGACGTGAGATGGTATCTCATTGTGGTTTTAATTTGCATTTCCCTAATGACCAGTGATGATGAGTTTTCTATTTATATGTTTGTTGGCTGCATAAATGTCTTCTTTTGAGAAGTGTCTCTTCATATGCTTCACCCACTTTTTGATGAGGTGGTTTTTTTCTTGTAAATTTGTTTAAGTTTCTTGCAGATTCTGGATATTAGCCCTTTGTCAGATAGGCTGCAAAAATTTTCTCCCATTCTGTACTTTGCCTGTTCACTCTGATGATAGTTTCTTTTTCTGTGCATAAGCTCCTTAGTTTAATTAGATTCTATTTGTTAATCTCAGCTTTTGTTGCAATTGCTTTTGGTGTTTTAATCATGAAGTCTTTGCCCATGCCTATGTACTGAATGGTGTTGCCTACGTTTTCTTCTAGGGTTTTTATGGTTTTAGGTCCTATATTTAAGTCTTTAATTCATATTGAATTAAGTTTTGTATAAGGTGTAAGGAAGGGGTCTAGTTTCAGTTTTCTGTATGTAGCTAGCCAGTTTTCACAACACCATTTATTAAATAGGAAATCCTTTCCGCATTGCTTCTTTTTGTCGGATTTGTCAAAGATCAGATGGTTGGAGATGTGTAGTGTTATTTCTCAGGCCTCCGTTCTGTTCTATTGGTCTACATATCTGTTATGATAATAGTACCATGCTATTTGGTTATTGTAGCCTTGTAGCATAGTTTGAAGTCAGGTAGCATGAACCTAAATTAAAAGTTCATGATATGGTTTGGATCTGTGTCCCTACCAAATCTCATGTCAAATTGTAATCCCCAGTATTGGAGATGGGGCCTGGTGGGAGGTGACTGGATCATGGAGGGGGATTTCTCATGAATTGTTTAGCAACATCCTCTTGGTGCTGTTTTTGCGATAGTGAATGAGTTCCTCAGAGATCTTATTGTTTAAAAGTGTGTGGCACCTCCCCTGCCCCTTGCTTGTTGCTTGAGCCATGTGATGTGCCTGCTTCTCCTTCCCTTTTACCATGATTGTAAGTCTCCTGAGGCCTTCCTTGAAGCTGAGCTGATGAGAGCATTATACTTCCTATACAGCCAGAAGAACTGTGAGACAATTAAACCTCTTTTCTTTATAAATTACCCAGGCTCAGATATTTCTTTATAGCAATGTGAAAACAGCCGAATACAGTTGGAAAGAAGAAAAAAAGAATGTATGACATGGAATTATCAGAATTTAATGATTATGATAAAAACTATTGAGATTTTTGCTAAGCTTGTAATGATTTCCTTATTGGACTTGCTTATCTATAGGGCTGGGACTCAGCAGTCTCCTTTTCACCATCTGAGCCTACTCTTAGTTAGAGGTGACTTTTGCAGGATTAACTATTCTGAGATGGTCTCTTGGCTGGAAAAGATAAACATTTGGGAACTATGGGGAAGCCCATCTTCTCTCTGCCAATCCAGTGAGATGCAGTTAAAACCAGCCTGGGTAAGACATAAGGATAAAAGTGATATGCAGAGAAGAGCAGAAATAAAAGATGGTGTGATAGTTAACTTGATGTGTCAGCTTGACTGGACTAAGAGACTTCCAGGTGGCCTGGTAAAACATTATCTCTGTGCGTGTCTGTGAGGGTGTTTTAGTTGACAGGGAAAGCAAAGACTAGGTCCTGCTTTACAGATAGTTCTGTATGATATGTAGGCACTGCCTGAAAGTGGACAGCTGCATGTCCCTCTCTGGGATATTGCCCTGGAGGATAGTGATGAGGAAAAACTCTGCTACCTGGTTATTCACTTTGCTTGGGTCTAGAAATGTCCAGATGTGAGATTACATAGCTATTCATGAAAAGTAGCCCATGGTTTGGCTAGATAGTCACGGACTTGAAAGCAATGTGATTGGAAAATTGGTGACAAAGAAACTGTGGGGAGGGATTTGTCGATAGACCTCTCTCAATGGGCAACAA